TGCCTGGTCACCCCAACTGCTCTCCCCTGCCAGCCTTCTTGTGGTAGCCATCTTGTGTCCACATGGGGGCGGCCATCTTGTGTGTTGGAGTGATGGTCAATTTGCATATTGCCTCTTTATTATATAGGCTAGATAACTAAGACACTGTCAAAACTTAGTGGCTTAAAGCAACCATGTCTCAGATTCTTTAGGTTCATCATTGGCGATCTCTTGCTCCCTGTGGCACTGAGATGAACTCAGCAACATTCAGCTGATGGAAGGACTGGTTGGGAGGATCCAAGACGGCTTCACTCACACATCTGGCACTGAGTGGGCTAGAAGGCAGCTCAGCTGGAGCAGCTGACCCATTGAGCCTACACTTGGCCTCTTAACTCGAGAGGTTTTATACTTCTATAGCTTTTATGTTCAGATCTATGACTTATTTTGAGTTAATTTTCTGTATGATGTATGGTCAGGTCCAGGTTCATTGTTCTTCCAAGCAGACAGCAGACATGCCATAGTTATAGTAGCATTTGTTGAAAATACTATCCTTTCTTCATGTAATCACCTTGGCACTTTTGTCTGAAGCAACGAACTACATGTATCTATATCTGTCTATTTCTGGATTATTTTTTTTTGGCATGTTCTAGTGATTTGTATGGATATCTCATATGGTCATATTTTAAAACTGCCAAAAGCATGTAGCAATTCACTGTAGCTGAATTATTCTCACGACATCACACACTGAAATCCTCAGGCACAACCTATGTCACTTGGCTCAGGCTCCTGGGATAGGACTCTGCCTTACCATCCTGGGCTCTTCTCCCTCAGAGAGGACAAAGAACTCATAAAAGCTATTTCAAAAACTGCTTGAGCAGAGAAGATAGGTGGGGGGAAGAAACGTAATCTCTTTTTGCCAGCGTTCTGGTCATTCACGTTAAACTTGGCTTGAAGAGCCGGAGAGAAGGATGGGTGGCAGGGCTATGCCCCGTCCGAAAGGACAATACTGCAACACATACAGCGGGGGAAAACCCCACTTTCTAATATTGCAACATGCCAATGGATGGTGGGCCTGACAATGTCCTAAATGAGGTTGTTACCACGCCTGCTTAAAGGCAGCATAAACTCTTCCTCTTAAGAGAATATTTTACTTCATGACTTTTCTTTTGCGAAACAGATTTAATTGTTTCAAATTTGTCAGGAAGAGTTTTGGGGTAATAAGTTACAGCAGGGCTTTCCTATTTCTCAAAAGTAACTTTGCTGTCAGTAAAAAAATGTCATTTACTAGAAATCTGAAACTCGTTTGCGAAGTCAATAGGTTAATCACCAGCTCCAGTCTCTAAAATTATTGTGAGATTTACTACGAACACAGTAGTTGATTGCCTCAGGGTCTCTTTGCAGAGGTAGTGCTCCTCAATGAGAACAGATACAAAATTTTAAAGTATAAAATATTTATCAACCGTGCGTACCAAACAGGTTCTTTGTGTTTTTGCCTGAACCAGACAACGCATGTGGCTTTTTCTACCACAGAAACTCTCCTAACTCCATTTCTACATTATCCAACATGGGAAAGCTAACAGAAAATCGAGGTCAAATGAGGAAACTTGGCAAATGGTCTTTCTCTGGCTTCACTGTTTGACCACCAACTGGCAAGCACCATAAGAAAAACTGCACAGGAGATAGATGATAGGGTGAAAGGACATTTTTGACTATAGGCCCAGGCTCTTATAAAAGAAGCAGGCCCAGGATTTATAGGAAGTATTTGGGAATGAATTCAAAGTGCTGAAGAATCAAAACTGTTTTTTCCATTTTACAACAATAACAAAATCTCCATGCTTTAAAAAATGGGGGTGATAGCTTTTTTCTCCTCCTGCATCTACTGAATAATTTTACCCCATAATCCCACCTGTCGTTGTTATTCTCTGGAAGATAACTAAAAAAAAAACTTCCCCGGATACGCAGATCACAGCAAATTATTGGCACTTAACAAATATGTACCACTGGTAGAGTAAAGGGAGGTTCCAATGAGGTGGGACATAAATTACCTCAAACTGGTTCATTTTTTGGATGACTTTTCACCGATGAGAAAAACTTCCTTAATGTAATGCTAATTAACATTGTACGAACTGCTTCAGTTTCCTTCCTTTAAGAAGTTCTTAATTTGTGACTAATATAGCACAGCATCAATCGTAAAACATTTGTTAACCTATTTTTAAAAATCAAATTCAAGAATGCCAACCAGGTGACTCTGAAGAGAGTGGAGGCCCCGGGGAGCCCCTCCCTTCGGTCTTCCCAGGACAAAAGGATGGGGACTTCTCAGGGGTGTGGCTGGTGGAAGCAGGTGCCCCAGGCGGAGAAAGAATTCAGAAGCAAGGGGGGACTTGCAAGGTTTGATGTGTGTGGAATTTCCCCCTCTCGAATTAAGAGGAAGCTGCACAAAGTGGAAAGGGGAACGACGGAACCTATACTATTGGTTTTCTTGGGGTTTAGGAGGAAAAAAGTAAAGCAAGAGGAAAGTGGGCAGTCAAGGACTTTGAGAGTTGGAGGTCTCCGTGCAAACATTTAGCCCAGGGATTGGCAATTCTACTTGGAGCCGAACACACAAGAACTCTTAACGCAAAAACAAAAGCAGACAGAAGGACAGCTTGCGGTGGAGGGGCAGAGTGGGGCGAGGCGGCGCAGGCACCCCTATGTGAGCTGCTAGAAAACCAAAGGAAGAAACAGACGACAG